CATCCAGACACCTCTGGAACACTTGCAGAGACAGTGACTCCACCACCTCCCTGGGGCACTTATTGCAAGGCCTGGCCACTCTGCAGGGAAAAATTGGTTTTAATATATGAGGTGAACATCCCCTGGTTGAACTTCAGGCCATTTCCTGTCATCCTTTCCCTTGGGACATGGCAGAACAGACCGACCCCCTGAGGCTCCTCTGGAGCTTGGCAGACCCTCCACAGCACTGACCCCCTTTATCAGCTCCCACTTTGTTCTTTCCATGTCCTTCCCAGCCAAGTTCACCTGCCCTCAGGGTGAGCCACCTTTTCAAGCCCTGTCATGGGAGTGTTCAGCGAGATCTACACCAAATTCCGCTGCTGCGTCAGCATCCTCCCCCCTCAGGGCTGCTTCCCAAATCAAAACACGTGGCACCATCTACTCGAGAAGGAGGAATTTTATTGTTTCCATCAGCCAGGTTTCCTTGGGAATGACCAGGACAGCTCTCTAGACAGACTCTCTCATGATCTTGGTGAGTTTCTGGATCTTGGACCTTGTTGACATGTCCACGTACTTCTCCCCAATGTTGACAATCATCCCGCCGAGGATCGAGGGGTCAGTCTAAACAAGGAACATTGAACAGGAAGGCTGTGAACAAAAGTTTCTTAGCCTAGGATACAACTCTGACACTAGCAAAGGAAAGAATAAAGCTCTTCAAAGAGCCTTTTTTGAGAGAACTTTGTGGTCACTGCATTCCAAAGTTAGGATTTTAGGAATTAAAGCATCATCATGTCTACGAGAAAGCAAAGAACTGTGTAACAGCAATAGGATTCAGTGAAATCTTTAAGATCATTTTTTAAAGGGTTTTTTAAACCCTTAACATGAACTTGATGAAATTAATTTATAAAGCCCAAACTCCAGACCTTGGTCTCCAGCTTCAAGACCTCTCCTTTAGCTAGGAATCCATTCAGAGCACTTTTCAGTTCAGTCAGGTTGGCCTCATCCAAGGGCTGAAAAACAGGAACAGAAGAGAAGGAAAATTAAGGACTTGAAAATATTCAAATGATAGAACAAGGACCCCAATATCCTACTCAGATCCTTTGGAAGACAGACCCGAGTACCGGGAAGGCAGATTAAGCAGTGTTCTGGAACGGGGACAACCAAAGGGCAGCAGAGGAACAACAACCACCTTGGTGCCCTCCTTATTTCATGAACCAAGAACAGGGGCAGCTCTGTGTGCACACCAGGCTGACTTTTATCACCCCCTGGCTTCACACACAGCAATAAAAAGCGGGACCTGAGAAGCTGAAATGGGAGGAACAGCTTTAATTTTTGACAAGTCTCTGCTGGGGATCCAAACCCTCCCTGCAGAAAGACGTCCAGCTTGGCAGGGCTGAGACGTTTCCTCGCTGCTCACACAGCAAGCCCTTCAATTGCAGGGAGCAGGGGGAGCCTGCAGAGGTTTGCC